TTATGGTCCCTAGACTCACCCAACTATAAATCTAAACCTATACCTCTTTGTGATCAAAGTTCTCACGCCATTTTATGCATTTTTTCTGCTTTCTTTTGTGTGCAGAGATCTTCTCCATGTTCCTGGGATAGATTTGTACCTTCTGAAGCTGAGAGCCATCTTAACATGTTAGCTGTCAGAGCTAAAGTCATTTCTTTCAAGAGGGGGAAAAGACAGGCTTCATTAAGATTAAAGAACGAGGTGAGACATGAAAGGACAACTGGTTTCCAATGGATCTGTGATATTTAATGTTGACTGCGAGTATGATTTATGAATTAATGTTATCTATATTAAATTTTAAAAAAAAAAATCTTACAGAGCCCAAACATTTGAATCTCTTACGCTGAAAAAATAAAATGGTTGCAAACTATTTATTTTAGCTACATTTAAAAAAAAAATGTTTAAAGTGAGTCAACTAAATCTGTTTATTTAAATGTAGCTGTATTTAAATGCAACCACTTACCTTAAAATACATTTAGTAAATTCAATGAATAATTTTTTTCAGTGCATGCTCATTAAGGTTGCATTTATATAATCAAAAGAAGTTAGCACAGTAAAATGAAATAAATATGACAATTTAAAATAATTGTTTTCATGTAATTTATTCCTGTGATGTTAAAACTGAATTTTCAGCATCATTACTCCAGTCTTCAGTGTCACATGATCCTTCAGAAATCATTCTAACATGCTGATTTGCTGATCAAGTAACATTTCAATTTTGAAAACATTTGGTCTCCGTAATACTTTTGTGGATATCTTGTTTTTTCCAGTGGTAGCTGATTAATAAAAGTTCAAAAGAACAGCATTTTTTAAAAATATAAATCTTATGTACCATTATTAATTCCTTTACTGTCACTTTTGATCCATTTAATGTATCCCTGCTGAATAAAAGTGTTACTGCCTTTCAAAAATACATTTCCTCATGTCAAACTTTTGAACAATAGTTCAAAATAATAGTAAAAATATTTCAAATAGTAAACATTATTATCTATATCCTATAGATGATAACCTCTTGCTATCCAGTGTGACTGCAGAACAAAAAACATGATTTAGATAATGTAAAAATAATTCATCATTGCATTATTCTTTTTAAAGAACCATTCAAGTAACTTTATCTTGGAATAATATAATATAATATAATATAATATAATATAATATAATATAATATAATATAATATAATATAATAATCTATTAGTGCTGTCAATCGATAAAAAAAAAAACTAATTAATCGCACATTAATCCCACCAAACATTAAAGTTTTAAAATATACTTTAATATTACAATGAGTTGACATTCAATCTTCAAATTTATGTAGAAACAACATAAAGACAGTATATTTTTATTATTTGCTTAATGGCATCATTTATTATGACTGAAGGCGATTATCACTGATACCAATACTACTGATGTCTCTATGAAATTGTTATTTTTTCTCTAACCATTGACTATAGCCATTCAACATTACAGAATAATTGAGAACTATCAATTTGAACATTTATTAGACTTTAGCAAAATAGCAACTTCTAATTTAAGTGAACTTAAAACAATCTTCACATAAACCCATCATAATAAATGTCATACGTGTGCCCTTCAGCAAGTAGGAAATACAGAAATTGGTTATCAAACACTAAATTCTAAATTAGACGAATCCTTAAAGCTGCAAAAGTTAATTGATTTCGTCTTTTTTCTTTTGTTCTTTGATTAACAGACATCACAGCAGCTGGGTTAGGTTTTTTGGCTGCTATGACTTTAGGAGCTGACGCTGCTGAATGTGATGGGGATCTGATACACGCATGCTTGTAGTTTCATTTCCGCTTTAATATGAAATGATACAGGCTACAGCCACGCAAAAGGACAGGAACATTTCTTTTTACTGACAAATGAACTAACAACATCTCATCTGACCGCAGTTCACTGTTGTTGTACTGAAGCTCCTCGTCACCTGTACTGTTTTAGTGCCTGGCGCTGAGGCAAAGTTGGAGTACGCATCTGAAAAGTCTCCCATTTGTAGTGGTCGTAAAGAGGTTGTGAATCTAAATAAACACAATTCTTTTCAAGAAAAAAGAGACAGTAGCAGCAGTTGTGCGTGGGGTGGTCAACCCTAGTCCGCCCATGCATTAAATATTTTTAACACCGTTAAACTGGAAAAATGAATCGCCTGTGTTAACGCGCTAATTTTGACAGCACTATTTTCTATTCCTTTTTAATTATTTAACTTTTTTGTTTGTTTGTTTGTTTGTTTTGTTTGTAACATTTGGTTCTCTGCTTTGACTGTGAACCCAACCATTTTTACATTGTCAGGAACGTTTTAGTACTTTAGTGTGTACGACTTACTGCTTATTCACAAAGAATTATTGGAACTGATGATAAAAACCGCTGATGAGATATCACAAAGACTGACTTTGAGTTTAGATCTACTAAGTCTTTCATGAATGCAGCTGCCTTGAGTGGAAGAGAATGTAAATGTTATGAATTATTACATTTTAAAATGATCTGGATAGACCTTTTCTTGATATTTTCCTGGACTGCTCCTTTGAAAATGGAATATGCCTTTGGGAATGTCACATGCATGGACTAAACAGTATATCTACCATCTAGTTTAAAATATTTATAGATGTCAGTGACTAGCTTCTTTTAAATTTAGCTGTGTAGTCAATAAATATGTGTTATGAGACCTCAGATGAGTCTTTGGTTGACCTTTAATTATGTTTTTTTAAGTACAGGAACAATGGAAGGATGTTGTGGATGAATGCTCGGTGTCTGCCTGTTCAGTGACACCAGGGCAAATTTGATCAGATTTGTCTTCATATGACTCTTATCTTTATTGTTCTTCAGCGTTTGCTTTTGTGTTTCCTGAAAATCCCTTGTCAAAGCAAATAATTATCTTTTGGTTTCATCCTGCATCTCACCTCACAGCAAAGTTTTCCTTTAGTTAAGTTTCAGTCTTACTGTCTGGTGGAAATTATGACATGTAATGTACAAGCCAGTATTGTCACATCTGTAGGTATTCGGATTTCAAAATTGGCTGTGAATCATATAGTATGTCAATCAAATGACAGTACAAACACCTGGCGGCCTATGGCAACTAAAAAAAACTTAAAGGGGTGGTTCACATGTTTATTTCTAGGCTTGATTGTGTTTATGGGGTGCAGTCTAACATGTGTTAATGCTTAGTTTAAAAAAAAACACATTATTTTTCACATAATTTATTCCACACCGCTATGTCCCTTCTCCTATTAACACACTGATAATTTCCTGCTTTTATGAAGCCCCTCCCTCAGAAATAGGCGATGGGCTCTGATTGGTTAGTTAGACCAGTGTGTTGTGATTGGCTAAATCGCCTCTAGTGCGTGTCTAAACGTCCCGCCCCTCACCTCACCTCATGTGCTCCGGTTGTATTGTAACAATGGCATCATTAATATCACTTATCAGTTTGAGCCCGATTGAGAAGCAGAGGATATTATTGAAGAGGATTGTGCAGAACCTGTGCAAGCTGTCAGACTCTGGTCCGTGTTTTGTGTGTGTTTTGCTCCTCATGTGCCTTCCTTGCCCTTATTTGGTCCTTCCTGTTCCTGTTGACAAGCTTTTCTACAGTATGGCAACCACATGCGCATCCATGTTTAACGCTTCTCATAGCTATGTGAAAATAAGTGTATAATTGTAACAGTTCATTGTTGGAGCTGAGCTGAATGAGAGAGAGAGAGAACGAGAGAGAGATGCAGAGTGTGTGTAGAGCAGGGGAACGGGAGGAACAGGATTAAGAACCGCTGCTTGAGAACATTGATTTTGAAACTTTATTCGATATTAGATAAACATTATTAGAATCATTAGAAGACAGAATCTCAATTTATAGATGAATAAATTTTTACGTGCATTTTCTCTTCCTCTTCTCTAAAGCAGCGCATCATGGTCTCGCCACCTTTGTTGCCTTTTCCCGAGGGCGGGGTTTATCTGGGTTTGTTACGTCACAAACCCGAGAAGTAACTTGTTGTAGTCCCTACCAGCCGTTTTTGTAGGCATTAAACCCCCAGAATTTTAAAAGACTCCGTTTGCATTGAACTTTCAGCTTCGTAACTTTGCAGATATTGTTTATGCTCAAACAGCAACATTGCACACTAACTAACGTTAAAAAAGTGAAATCGCAATCAACCACCCCTTTAACTAAAAAGAATACTAAGGATTCATTCGACCTGTAAAAAAAACAAAAACAGAAATGCATATCATATTACTGTAATCTTGAAACAAACAAAACCTTAAGTCTGGCTATACTGACATTTCTGTGTGAGATTTGACAAGGTGTGATTTTAATTTAAAATAACTGTTTTTATTATAAAATGTAATTTATTACTCCTACACTCTAAAAAATGCTGGGTTGATTCAACCCAATGTTGGGTCAAATATGGACTAACCCAACTGTTGGGTTAAATTTTGGTAACATTTTTAAATTAGCTTTTTAACCCAACAGTTGGGTTAGTCCATATTTGACCCAACATTGGGTTGAAACAACCCAGCATTTTTTAGAGTCTCTTGTTAGGTAAAGTGATACTATGAAAGAAAATTGACGAGCCATTTAAATCAATATAGAACATTTTAAATCCCTAGAAAATTTGAATTTGATATTTTATCCAATAAAATATTATGATTCAATGAATACACTATGATGTGGACATCTGTTATAGCTGATGTAACTTCTTTCAAAATGTACAGCAGCTAATGAATGTGCATCAGGAATGGTAGGAAAGAAAAAAAGACAGAGACAAAATAGTGATAAAATCTG